CTCCATCACAAATAACCGAATTGAATAACCTCGGCCCTTTTTACTTAATTGTTGACACGAACCGGTGGAGGTTTGTTTGTGTTAGATAAAAGCGAACGGCGTCCAGGCAGGCAATCGTCCAATTAACGTTTGCTGACTCCACCAATTTTTGACCACTGCACCGAGTGACACTTTCTACAACTGACCACCACTGATTTATCTATAATACTCGCATACAATAACTTAAGTAGCTCCTAATTAGTTTAGTAAGCTTTTTTTGTTCTTTGTCCCTAATTAAGATAAAAATTCATTTTTTTACCCGCTGTTAAAGTAGAGGTAAGTTTAGCTTCACTACACATATAGATAATTGAGAAGTTAATGGGGTAGGTTATTTTACATAATTCATTCTCTATATACCTAAAAAAAAAATTACAAACAATTGTACCGAAACCAGTTACTCCGTACACATTAACACCTCAGAAATGTAGTATCGATGCTAATAATCCTGAAACTAAAAAGTATCGATTATTTCAGCTTGCCATTAATTTTTTTATTCACGTGGTGAACAAAGGGAAATAATGTTGTCATGTTTTTAGCACTCCCTGATGCCAGCTTACTGCCCGCGAGCTATGTGAATGTAATCGAACTTTGGCCACTTTGCTTTAGCCACTGGCCTTTGGTCAGTCGACCGTTAAACTGACCATTCAAGCGTGATTTGTGTTACAACTTGAGCTAAGCGCTTTACTAGCACGTGACTGCATGTATTCATGCGCTCTTGTATATTTGTCTGTTGAACACGTGTATACCACGGATTTCTTGAAGGCTACCCTACCCTTAACGGCGTTGCCTAGCGGTGGAGCGCTAGACTGCTAACCCGATCGTTTTGAGTTCGAATCCGGGTTCAAGTTAGTGGAACGACCCTGAGTCCACCCAACTCTTATGAGTACCTAACTCACATTAGGGAAAGTAAAGGCGGCTGGGCATAGTACTGACCTCATTATACCTTTATATCCCAAGGTCAAGAAACAAATAAACTCCACTTCATCTGCCCATTGCATCGTTAGGTCTAAAGAGGAATCTTAACTTTTTTTAACCCTACCCTTACCTTAAACTTTTAACACTCCTAAACACATTAGCGCTCATCGTATTGGCACACTTATTGCATGAGTTTTTTTTTTCAGTTACATTGTCTATTACAACAATTACTCGACACACACTTGTCCGTTTTCAAGACTATCTATGTAAAGTTTAGGGCTAAAGTTATTAGCTTACCAGAAGCGTAGCGACCCTTCCCGGCGCCCGGGGACAAACTTTTCGATTTGCACCCCCCTCCCCCATCAAACTTTCGATTTGCACCCCCTCAACCTTTCAATTTATTTTTCCAACCCATTTTGGCGCCCTCTCAGGTCTGCGCCCGGGGACATATGTCGTCGTCCCCGCCGCCCCCCCCCCCCCCCCTCGCTACGCTACTGGTGCTTACCGTATGATTGGGTTACGGTTATGTGTATATTTGGATTAAGGACATGTGTATAACCGCAGATTTGGGTTAAGGTTAAATCTGTATGTTAGGGTTAAAATTATGTATATCCGTGTAAATTGATTAAGATAATGAGTATATCCGTGTAGCTGGTTTAAGGTTATGAGTATATTTGTATGTGTGACTCCTAGCAAACGGAAAATTACACCTAACTTTAAATCCACGCTTTATCAAATTAATTAATTCTAATTTAAAATTGTTACCTAAATACACTAAGCTTCCCGGTGTTTTATAATGAAAACGAAAACGAAAGCTATTTTTTCAAGGACCATTATTGTCATAAGCTTTAATATTAAAAGACCTTAATTATAAGTTAATGTTAAATGACAACGAATCGTTTATTTAAATAATTTATATAAACTGTTGAATACATTCTTTCTTAGATGCAAGACTTGTTTTGAGAATATATAAATCATTTTAATAGTTACATGCATTTTATCAAAAGTTGCAAAATTTCTATAAAAAATTTTCAGAATTTGAAAAACTTCTGTAGAAATTTGCTGAACTTGTATAGATATATGGAGAACTTGTTTTTAAAAATTGTAAAACTTGTCTTGGAATTAGTTTTAAATCTTGACCATCCTGACAGATTCCTTCAAACTCCCTCCCATACATCCACCGCCAACTCTTTGATCGTCTGCTAATGATCTCGCCGGGAATACCGGTTGTAAAAGTCCGGACTTCGTTAGAGAAACGGTACCGTGTCCTTTATAGATTTTCGTGTCTGTCAAAAGTCCGCTCTTCCTGCTTGATTCTAGACATTTCCTCTAAAAAAATCTATAAATAATTACCCAATCAAAGTGCTATTTTTTAACCACGTGGTACGCGTTCAACCAAATATCTTGCGGTGGACTTTTAATTTCATTAACAAAATATAAAAAAATTTTACCGGAAGAAAAAGTGTTGGGATGAGATTTGTAAAGCGGATATTCACAGTGAGAAGGATGATAACTTCGAAGTTAAATCATCGCTGATTGGTGCCTTTTTTTTGTTTCCGAAACGTTGATTGATTAACAAAGCTCACGTATACAAATAAGTGTTTATTTTCTGTTTTTAATCAACTAAATACAAATTTAAAAAATAGTGATTTTTTTTTTGTTTCCGAAATTTTTATTGAATAATTACGTTCAAATATTGACGAATAACCTTCATATATAAAACAAATGTTTATTTTTTAATTATTTTTTTTTTAACAAACTGGGGGAAAAAAGTGTGCGAAGTTCTCCATTCAACTCAAGGAATTCTCTACCGTTTATTTTAATACGGCGTGGTTATATACTTGTAATAGACTTATGCCATTTTGAAATCAAACGCTATTCAGTTTTATTTATTTATGTTTTTATAATCATGCTGGCAGAGTTTTATTATGTTGTTTGGCAAGAAATTTCCTCGATTGATTTATTTAACATCCGTTTGCGTTAGGCTAAGGACCCCCTTCCCCATTTCCATCTCTATCTTTTCATCATCTTCACTTAACTTTTTTTCTCCCCTCAACGATTTTTAAATTCACAGGGAAATAATTTTTTTTTCGCGCTGTCGTAGACTAGAACCAGGCGCTTTAATCGTCGTCATCAAGACGTTCAGCTCGCTGAGTTAAACGCAGACGTGCAATCATGCTCACGCCAATTGTCTCCCCCTTGTTGTCGCACGCACGACACTCACCCGTTGTCAGTTCTCCCTCTCCGAACGCGCCCGGCCCCAGGAAGTGAACAGTTGATCTGGTTGGATCTAACCCCACGCATGCGCTGTTTACCTGCCAATTAATCACCCCCGATTCTGACGGTATGTCATATTTGATCGGAACTTTGGTTGACATTTTCGCTTGTTGTCTGGTAGGTGCAGGCGGAGATCGATTATCGATCGGCTGCACGTGTGTAACGTTTTAATCAAACAAGCGATGGATACTGACGCCGGCGGGACCCGTGAGTGCTGTGTGTGTGTGTATGTGTGCTCAACGTTTTCTCGGGGTCATGTGACCGGTGGAGGATTTTTTTGTTGGTGTTGTTGTGTTGCCAACGTCGGTATGTTGATGTGTTCGCCGTAGGTATTTTCCTGTAGTTACAATAGAGGTATATTTTGTTCTGTGGCCATCGTAGGTATTTTCATGTGACTACCATAGGTGTGATATTTTTTTCAACGGCCACCGTAGGTGTTTTCCTGTAGTTACCGTAGGTGTGATATTAAGTTTCCTATTACTACCTAAGGTGTTGTGATTTTTGTATCGTATATATTATTTATCTGTGACATAATAAATATAGCAATAAGACCAATGTCGATAATAATGTGGTCAGTTTAGATACCATGTGGATTTATTGTTTACATCGGATCTCTGTATATTTTTGGTTATTATTGACTATAGTGTTGTGGGTAAATAAAAAATAACGGCAAGTGTTGTTATGAAGTTATACTAGTCAGTCAGCATTAAAATAAGGATTCGTTTTATACGTCTATCAATGTATGATTAATTGTATATAGTTATGCGGTAATTAAAAACATAAGTGTGTCTTGCTAAAGTAAAACTGTGGAGACATTTTAAAAATAACTGTGGTCTACGTATGTTTAAAGGAGGTAGCCAGTGCTAGATTATGTTTGTGGGGCTATCTTTTCTATTCTTATGCGGCCTAACTAATAGTGCAGTTCCCGTATAGTCTCTAGCGATGATTGTCGGACAAGCATCAAAGTAAAGTTGTATTTGTACACATCACAGTCCATTACGCCATACCGTAATTCCCCTGATAAATGACGCACTTATTACTGTGTTGCAATGGCTTCATTATGCCGCTTATAGTGTGACAATTAAATCATTCTGTTTCGGTCTAGCCGTTGGATTAATACGTGTGACATTTCAAAAATTAAAATGTATGATTCTCTCGGGAAAGTTAATTAGTTAATTAATTATATTTTATATCTTAATCTTTAAAAAACAATTACCATCGTATCTTTATCTTCGTCACAAATCTAAATTAAAAGTGCTAAAAATAGCATAAAGTTCCGTAACTCATCCTTTTTCTAGTATAAACACAATTTGCGTGTTCATAAAGGAAAAAGATCGTTGTTGTAAAATAACAAAAAGAAATTAATGCAATTGGGCAATGATAAATACATTTAACTTGTTAAATTACGCCGGTGATAATGTTAACAATTAACTTGTGTTTACTTTCTTAAAGCGGAAGTATGCCATGTTTACCGTTTGCGTGGAAACCCCATTAAGAAAGCGTTGCTAATGGCTTCATTCAATTAGGTCAAGCCAATACGAGATGACATTTGACAATCTTAATTGAAACTTGTGACACTTGTCTAAATTTGTGACAGTGTTAGTTGGTGCTAGGTCGGGAAATAGTGATAGCTGTCCGGATTTGTGACAATGTTTGTTCGACAAGGCTTGCTCGGGAGTTGTGACAGTAGTTTGTGACAATGCTGGTTGGAGTAAGGTACTCAGTGCTTGGAAGGAAATAGTGACACTAGTCTAAACTTGTGACAATGCTGGTTGGAGTAAGGTACTCAGTGCTTGGAAGGAAATAGTGACACTAGTCTAAACTTGTGACAATGCTGGTTGGATTAGAGCCCCCAATGCTAGGTTTGTGAAACAGTCTAGTCTAGCCTTGACCATGAGTACGAAACTTCCGGTCAGTAAGTCTGATATGGAGGAGGATCTAAACCAGATGTGGAATTTCTACTACCAGCTCAAGGCTGCCGTGTCGCCGGTAAGATGCTGTTTGTAGTTGTTGTTGTTTCCGTTTATTGTTCTTGTTGTTTTTGCCGTTTATGATTCTTGTTGTTGTTGCTGTTGTTGATTGTTGTAGCGTCTGATGCTGTTTTTCGTTGTTGTTGTTTGTTGCTGTTGATGATGTAGATTGTTGTTTTGTTGTTGCTGCTACCTGTTGTTGTATTATTGTTTCTGTTATTGTTATTTTCAATAACTGATTTATTATTCATAAGTAAAGATTAGAAACCCTATTGTTGTAAAATCATATCTGTAAAACTTAATTGGCATCTTTTATGTTTATGTTGGAAATATTTGTCCTCATCACAAAATCCATATGCTCTAGATAGGATTATGCTCAAGTTAATATATATGTTGCCTTAAAACCAAGTATATGAAGTCCATATATATTCTCAATGTTATATGCATTCAATATGCTCATGCTATATTCCCCGTGTTTAGGTTTTAGACGTCAGTGTGCTTAAAACACGGCGTTTAAAATTATAACTAAGACCTTTGAGTTACAGATATATAAGTAATAGCAGCAAAGCTTTATAGTTGTGAAAAGGTGTATATTAAACTGTTATTGAATTAAACAAAAAAAAATAATTTTGCCAGTGCCTGTAAATATCTTCTTAAACTATGTGACGAAAGGTTTGAACGACCCTGTCCATTCTGATTGCATCCTAGACAACAAATCGTTTTCTTTCTGGGTTTTTTTTTTAATCTGCCTACGAGAAACATGCTGAAATGTTCACCCTTTACTAGTCGAACGTCTCTCCTCCACCCCATCGCAATTATGTTCATTCTCCACTAACCAAATTCTCTCCCATCCCCCCTCACCCCTACTCACAAACACATACATACATCAGACTCATATCTCCAAACTTGTCTCAATGTCTGAGAGTTTTCCTTTTATTGACCGAATTCAGCACTAATGGCTTTGTATTAAAATATTCGGAAGTCATATTTATCCCTGGGGGGGGGGGGGGGGGGGGGGGGGCGTCTGCTGCACAAGTACATCTGCACGTTAAAACGAGTGATAAAATAATTCACCAACAAGCTGCTAAACTACCAGAAGACGCAGGCGCTGATGAAACTTTTTTGTTTTGTACACTAAGCCTAACGTGTCGCTTTATCGTAGCCAGATGTTATGTCCTTTTTGCCTGAAGATCGACACGTCATTGAATCTAACGTCATTATCAACATAACGTCATCATCGAGCGACAGACGTGTTAGATAATTGCCTTTGACGTCTCTTATATTTAACTGTATTATCTCGCTGTCAGGTATAGTGTCCTCAAATATGCAGATGTCTCTATTATTTCCAATTTTCATATATCGTCAATACCTCTAGTCTCCAAAGATGCCCAACCTCATGCTTGCTATATTAGACAGTGCGCTTTCAGCGGTATATGATGACAATGGTACAGAAAGTTGTCATTGTGAAGACAGGACAGTATTGACAGACAGCTATGACATAATCCTTGAAAGGAGGGAAGGAGGAGGTCGCACTGAATTATTTTCAGTGCTCACTTACCATTCGATTATACGGCCCTGAGAGATGAGTAGCTGATCAATGTATACACTTCATATTAGCTACAACACAACATGACACGTTTTTTCTCTCTCGTGTTTTTGTTGTTTTAATTAACTTGCGTCAGTGTGTATCCTCAGCATTAATACTGTCTTGTTTTAGAAAGCCATGCATGTTTCTGAAGCGTTGCATTTTTTAAGATTTTAATTTCATAACTTTAAGGTAAATGAAATAACTGCTGACAAAATATGCCGCGCGTGTGATACAAGTGTTTTGGTCAGCTACTAGACACAATCGACGCTATTTCAACAACTACCGCCAAAAGTGTGTATTGTTTTCACATCATCTAAATAATTTTTTTAAAATCCTTGTAAGAAAATAAATAATGTTGTGTATTATATTCTTTGTGTGTGTGTGGGAGGGGGGATGTAAGCGTTTGACACTGACATAAGACAAGTTGGAGTTTTCAAATGACTTTAGATTAATGTAAATAGTCAATGCCATTATGACGTATGGAAGTTGCTTCAGATTACGGTGAAATTACACGATCAAACATACACACATGTAACCTATATAGCCCGAATTTAGAAGATCTACGCTGCTTAAAACTGTGTCATTATTAATTCAACCGACAATAATTGTTCTCATAAATAACAATAGTTTTAAAACAGCAACCAGTCTTAAATAATTAATAACCTGTCTATCTTCAGACACGCTATGAAACTCCGCTGTGTATATTTTAAATATGTACTTAGACAATGTATCAGACACGACGGTCCGACGCCAACCCTTCTGGTACCGTGTTGTGTTGGTGTTGTGTTGGTGATGAACTTCTTCTTCTTCGTTCTTAATTATTAGTGTTGAAGGGGATCGAGATTTATCTGCCAGTGGGTTTGAACTCGAGACTTTGTTCGAATTTATCAACCATGAGCTTTTTGCCGACTCGACCACGCCTCCAACACAATTAAGCGTTACGTGTCAACTGGTTATGCGCCATTGAGGCCATTGACTCCGATTTCAGCCTGCTTTTCTTTTTGGATTTGCTTCCATAGCCTTTGTCCAACCAAGAACAAACTACAAGGCAGCAGTTGTTTAGTTTTGGAGTTGTCTCTCCTAGAAGAGTGGCTGTCCCCAGCTTACGAGCCTCATCTGCCCGAGGGTTCGAACTCGAGACTTTTCGGTTCAGCAACCATGAGCTTTACCGACTCGACCCCGCCTACCCCTTATGATGAACTGTATGTGGTCTTCTGGGCAGCGGTTCTCACATGGTGAATCTTGACCCTGGGGGATACATCTAACCTGGTATTTTTAAAACGTAAAGAAAAACCATCTGCTTTCATCCACATTCCCAAACCCCCACCAATACAAATACCAGACACGGTAGAATACAACACCTGTGGACTATTCCAGGCGTCGTCATTATCACCTGCCGTGCCGATTGATTGCTCAGCCTAGCTTAAGTTCCCGACACTAATCACATGACTAATTATCTTCCTCTATTACGAGAAGTCTTTTTCCCGACTTAATGAAGATTATCGGTTTTCGGTCTCAGCGTGCGATATAATGAAGAGCTATTATGCCATGTATGACGTCATATAGAAAATGAAACATAATACCTTCACGCATTACAGCAATCTTAAGCCTTACACGTACGTTCGTAAAACGTGAACTATGTACTTTAAATGTGGTGTATTATAGAAACGGTACTGACACAATCTAGTACAATAGACTTATTGTTTGTACTCTTCCAAGCCTTGGGACAAGTAGAGTTCACCTGTTTCTCTGACCTCGACATATGATGGGATTGTTAGGTCAGCACTACAACCAGCCACCTTTACTTTCCCTAACGTGAGTCAGGTACCAATCAGAGCTGAGTGGTCTCAGTAAGGTCCTATGTGACTCGAGTCCTGGATCCGAACGCGAGATTTTCGGGTTAACCGTCCAACGAGTCATAGTATTGACACATTAAATACAAGACAAGTATAGACAGATGAAGTATGAAGACACATAGCTTTGGACGCATAGAGTACAATATTAAAATAGTTCGGACACAGCATCGATGTAGCTGGTGTATTGCTTGAAGGATAGTGAATCTGTTAGCTGCAGTATGCTGTTAGTGAGACGTATTAGCATAATTGTTAACGTCTGCAGGAATTATGCAGTTTTGTTTAAGATTTTTATTTTACTTTAAATGTTTGTAAGCTTACGTCCCAAGTTCACGAAGCTATAACTAGAAAATAAAGTTGTATAAAATTTCCCGATTTACGTTGATTGGCTAAACACTTTTTTTTTTTTAATTTGTGCCAAAGATTCGAATGTGCATACATCATCATCTGTATTTAATGTTCCTAACATCACTCCATTCTCATAATACATCCTGTATTTCAATTCTTTCTTTTTTTTTTCTAAAATCTAAATCTTTTTTTAACACTGTTGATAACATATTAAACAAAAAAAAATCGAATTTTTAAATGCGAAGTCACATTTCTAACAGAAGACGACAAGAAAAAAAATGAAAGCACACAAAAATACAAAGCATTTAACTCTTCTAATCGAAGAAATTTTTAATAACACTCCTGACAGAATCGATACTCTGACACCTACCCGACCCGCCCTCGACCGTTAGCTCGCTGGTTCTCGCCCTGTTTCGCGAGGTAATGAACAAAGAGTGGTGTTGGAACATTTGGCGCGTGTCGGCTGTTCACTGCCATGTTGGTAATCACGACAACAGGGCAGGGACGTGGGGCGGTTCTACCGGAAGTGGTGTTTTCTCAACGATCTTAGGTTCAATTTACTTCAGCCGAAGGAAGAGTCGGGGAGGGGGGAGTTAATGCGTGATTCCCCCCCCCCCCCCCGGGTAACTTCGGTGTTAACTCTTCCCCCCCCCCCCCCCCCACACACACACACACATACCCATTCCTTCCGCCTCTTCAATACCGATTACAAAAATTGTGACGTAATTTCAGTGATTTCTAGTCGGTTAGCCGTTCCTATTCCATTACATGTACAATTTGGTTTACAGAAAAATGCTCAAACGGAAAACTGCGCAAACAGAAAAATGCGCTAATACTAATTCTACAAATACACTTTAATTTTGTCATGTATAGTGGAAAAGTGTTTTTTTATGCTACAATGTACATGCAGTCACTCTTTATGTCTATAAATGCTCGATTTAATAAAATAAAAATGCCCTTGCGCCCATTTTTGAGCGCAGTCTTCCGTTGCGCAGTTTTTGTTTGCGCATTTTACCGGTCACCTTACCATTTTACTATGCCACTAACCCGAAGCCTAACCCTTGCGCTAACCAATATTCTATTAGTTAAGGTTACCCTTATCGCTACAGTTCGTAGGTACGGCTAATTGACCAGAACCTTCGCGTGAAGTTTGAGATCACTCGGTCATTAGATTAAATGATTGAAACAGCCATTTTTCTAATTAGATGTATGTTTAAATAATTGCTTTCG